GTTTGAGTGGTACAGGAAGGGACTGACCACTCTGAACATGTAACGTGGCAGTTCAGGGACTCTGAGAAAGCATGTGCACAAGGGTGTGATTTCCTCCTTTTTCCTCTCTGCCTGTATGGACAATCCCGTAAGAATATTGAAGTCCGGGCTGGCAGTTCTGACCAGGGGGACCCTTGGGCAGAACAAAAGCTCTGTTGTTGGGGAGTGTCACAGAGCAGCATGTATAAGATGCAAGATTGAATGTCCTTCAAGCTCACAGTGACAAAGCAGTGCCAGGACACCAGCAAAAGGGCTTTTCACCAGGAGCAAACAGATGGCCAGAGAGAAAAAGACCAGCCTTTATGCGAAGGACATCCTCCCACCCCCAACCGCTCAATCCCTTGCTGTTTCAGGGCAACATTTGATATACTGCAACATCATCTCATGTTTGTGTCCTTTTAATTAAACCAGGAGTTTCGGAATAGAAACGTCCTTGTTTTCACTGAGAAATGAGTTCAAAAAGAAGATAATGGGGCTTCTTTATTTTTCCCCGTTGGTTTGCTGAAGGCTTGTGTGTAATTTGTCCTTTGCAAGAGCAATCAAAGATAACCTGTATGCAATTGATTATAGGCATTGTGTCTTTTAATTACTTGTTTCGACACAGTGCTCTAGTTGCATGCTCCAAGCAGGTAACACTGGGGTGCCTGTTCCTTGCTTGCATGGTTAAATCATAAAGCTAGAGTCGCCGCTCTGTCCGGCTTCATATCAGACTCCAATGAATCCCAGGCTGTCTTCCACCCTTCCGCCAGTTCATAAATACAGTACAGACATTTGTGTAAAATAACATGTTAAAGAATGTGACCATATGTCTCACCACGAAGCAAACGTCAAATGAGCAGGGAGGGGGAAAGGAGCCCTGAATGCTTAGGATGCCATCTGGAAAAATAAATAAATAAATAAATAAATGGGTGGGAAAAGGTTTTAAAACTTTGCCTTTTTCAATAGGAAGATGAATCTGTGTTCAGCTGATCACTATTATGAAGATATTATAAATCAATATCAGTATCAGTGCATTTACAATATTTTTGATCTAACATTTGTATTTGTGAGAAAAAATCAATCCAGAGAATAAAGTAATTACTGAATGTCCTAACAAGTAGCTTCAGAAGCATTACATAGTAAATTCTTACATCAAGGACGTCAACATGAAACGTTTTAACAAAAAAAGCCACAAAACTGAAACTGAAAACTCCCTGGATTAACGTGTGCCTTAGCATGTTGTGTGTCTGTACAGAAAACAGCGAGGAAGGTGCTGTACCAAATATGCACTTTGTAAAATTGTCTGTTAAAAAAGGAAATGGAAATGGGGGAGAATGTCTTGACCTAAGACAAATAGAAAAGAATTTGCTAAGCTATTAATATCTGTTACAGTAATTTAATGTGGTTTGGGCTCAGGGGTCAGCATGAGTGCTGTTCTTAAAGCCTTGCACCCTTCACATGCTAATATGTGTATTTGGCTACAGAGCATGAGCAGTGATGGTTTTTTTCCAGCGCAGACTCCAGAAAACCCAGAGCAGGAACATGTGCTATCATCACTGCAAGGACAGACAAGTAAAAGCAATTGCTTCAGGATGTCTTATAAGGCAAATCAGTTTTATGACATGTATTTTTATACCTTCTGAATGCAAGAGCACCTGCTTAACAAAGTAGGTATCTCTACTGGGAGCCACACCTCTCACAATTAGTTTTACAGGCATGGAGAATAGTTTATAATGTGTCATATTATATTTCAGTTGCCTTCCCTGCTTTCCCATAGAACATTGCACATGGAAAATGTGACTGAATCACTGCAAAAGCACTTAGCACAAACTGCTCACTGAACATTGTTCTCCTTATTATACAAATGCAGGTGTTACCTATTTCTTTCTAAAGCCCTTGTCCTGTAATAGCTTATTTGGAATTTTCTATGGGTGCAGAAGCCAAGACTTCCTCCTTGGAAATGGCTTGGAAACAAAAGTAGTAACCAAGATTCACATGATTTAATAGGAGCTTGAAGAAACAATAACTATCAGGAGATGCAGTATTTTATGCATATCACAAATACAATTTATCTGGATGTCTTCTACCCTATTAGGAAGTCAGCATTCAAAAATCTAATTGTGCCTCAGGAGCTGGTAGGAAGATTCATAATGAACTTTTGAAGTAACTTTCATCAGATTCAAAATTACTATTAACAGATCTCAAAAATACCTGTTCAAGATATTCAGTAATGCCTTTTACTTGTTCTGTTATGTGACAGCTGCCACATGGCAGAAGAGCTAAGGAGACTTGATGTAAAAAAGGAACTAGAATCATTGTTACTCTCTAACAAAAATGGAACTAGAATCATTGTTACTCTCTAACAAAAATAGACCAGGCACTGGAAGGGATTTGCAAGCTGAGATATGATCATAGAAGTCATATTCTTCTACAGAGGATTGCAGAGTTTTGAACAGGAGGCTAGTTTCAGTATGAAGCAAACTTTCAAAAAATACTATCATAAAATACTTTGGGGAAAAAACAAACCCTTTACTCATTTGCAAACAACTTTCACCTGGCAAGGCTGGGTCCAGAAAGCCTTGGGACCTGGTCAGCCAGCTTTCCCTCATGTTCTCTGCTGCTCTCCAGATGAGCCAGCAGAGATGGAGCAGGTTTCTTACAGTGTCCTTTTGAAATGAGAGGCCGGATATTGTCCTCAATAGCTTCAGAAAAATCATCTTCTGGGGAATTTCTGACTAGGTAATAAATCATGAAGAGAGTTTCAAAGTAGGCCATGCCTTAATGCCAGAAGGCAGGCCTGGTGTGTCGCTGATTCCCTTGGGAAAAGTGGGATTCTCTATGAAAGGATGTTTTCAAGGCTTATTAAGTGTATGAAAGCTGAAGTCATGAATGCGTGTTTAAAGTAGGGCACTGAACCTTTTTGGTGTGATCACTAGTTCCCAAACTGCATTATAGAACATAACAGAGAAAAAAATGCAGGTGGAACAAGTCAAAACATAAAGTATTTATGTCAAAACATGAAGTCTGATAAAGTATTCTTATCCTCCTGGTGTTGAAAATTATTTTTAGTGTAAGTCTTGCTTAACCAGTGCCACATCTTCCTAGTAACTAGAGAGACTAATGAATCCAACTACAGACATGCAGGGTCTAGGGCAGTGTATGCTCAGGGATGGGAACTGGTGTGAGTGACTGCAAAAGCTGCTTTCAGATTTCAGCATTCTTCTTCAGTGCAATATGAGTGTAGACTTTTCTGTAGAAATCCAGAAATCCAGTTCTGTAGACTTTTCTGATGTTTTTGACAATAATTTGTGCTAAGACAGATTTAATGCTGACTTTTTACCTGTATGACTTGATATATATATATATTTAATTATAAATCACTTTAAACAGTGGATATCTATTGTGTATTGATATTCTTAAATCAACAAACCTAGCTAGTTATCTAATCTACCTGCAGTCAGAAATAACATCCTCTGTACAGGTAGTAAGCTCTCATGTGCGTACTTTTAAAATAAGTCTGTACTGCTTTTACTACATTGCAATACCAAGAAAATGGTAATTTAATATTAAAACTAGAAAATCTGTCATCTTGGCTTATGTAGTAGAAACACTGTTTGCTTCAGTAGTTTTATTTATAGATGGTTAAAGAATTTCTGATTCACAGCAAGTTCACAGAAAACAGTACTTTGTCAAAGTGCAAAATATTTTGATGAGACTTACAGCCTTTTAGGATACTTTTCATTAGAAATTATTTTCTAGGACTGGCTAATTGTGTCTGTCCAAAGACAGAGGAAGAATTGGAGATACAGAGCAGAAAAAAAATACTATGAGATAAGGTCTCATATTATCTCATAATACTATGAGATAAAGCAAACAACGTGATGGTGCTTTCTGAAAATGTCCCAAAGGTTTTGGTAGTGTCCCTTCGCAGAAAAAAAACAATTCAGAAACCCTGAATGTTGCCATAAAATGGATTTGTCATCCGATACGAAGTACTGTTTCCAGTGTAATGGAGGTAATCAGTAGGCTTTTCTAATTCACCCAGAGGACTTTGCAGAGTCCTTGCAAATTACACAAATTATCATCTACACTGTAAAATGGCAATGGTACGGTACCAGAATGTGCACTTTATTTATTTAGATAAGGTAATCTGATTTTCACTGTGTACAGTGGCACCCCATGATGGCCTATTAAACACCCACTACTGTTTTCTCAGGAAAACAGTAAAGGATAGGTAATCTGGCTGGTAATAACGGGCTTTGGATAAACAACAACGCTGAAAATCATAAATGCAACACTAGGTTTTGCCTGCCTTATCCACAAGGGGCTGTCCTAGGTGAAAACACTTTAACTGTGGTGTTTTCAGGGTCACCCTGAAAAACCCACAGGGTTTTGGCACTGTAGATCCTGAGCCTAGCAAGGCTCTCTGCAGCATCTTTGAAGAAGCCAAAACGTCTGCCATTTTCAGTAGTGGATACCACTATTTCATGTGATGGCAGGCACGTTAGATTGCTCCCAGGAAAGGACCTCCTAACTTGTCTTTCTCTTTGTTTCACAGGCAGACTAGCTTGAGCTCATCCTTGGCACTGAGCGAAGCAGCAGGGCATGGAAGAGAGCAGGAAGGAAGCCAGAAGAAGAGTTATCAAAACACTGCTGATCAACCAATGTAGTTTTATGTTGTTATCCTCTAGGATATCCTCTAGTTTGCTCTAGATGTGCAACACTTGAGAGAACACTTGAATAAAAGAATTCTCAAGAGAAAGTGGGGAAATTGTATCTTGGGAGGGTGGAGGTATAATATACCTGTAATGCTGTGGTACCAGCCAGACTATCAAATCAGGAGTTAATGCCCAGAAACTGGTTGGAGGAAGGTCTGGGAGGCCCCTGTATTTGGGAGCTAAATGAGAGCATCTGAAAGTATTTAGGATAAATACTTGAAAAGAAAGGTAGCTTGTAAGAGGGTAGAGGGGGAAGTTTGAGTGTGGTGCATAGATGTGTATGATTTGGAGAAAAAGTGTGGTGTGACTTTGTGCATTTTAAGTATTTGCTCTGCATTACTGTTCCATGTTTGCAAGAGTAAACTGGGAGTATTTTCAAGGTAATTTCACTTTTGAAAATCCTTTAAAACCTTGATCTTCAGGTCTCATCGGGAGAGTTATACTTGGCTGAATGTTGAGCCTCTGACTATACTGTTGGGGTTTTTTCTTCACTGCTTCTTTACAGAAGCCTGGATTCTGTTTTTAGGTTGTTCTAGGTGTAAGCTAGTATATTTTATTGTCCTTAAAATTTTGATGGGGGAGAATTCTTCATATACAGGTGTTGACTGTGTACAAGGCTGATAACTTCCAAAAAAAAAAAAATCAAAAATTATATAGAAAGGTTTGCTGTATTTTAAATTGGGGGAATTGGCGGGGAGTAGGGCTGAGGTGAGAGTGATTTCTGGAGATCAGACACTACTTATTTCTGTTTAGGAAAAAGTAATTCAAGAGGGTAAAATACACCCCGAGCACTGAATCACCTGACTTGGCATTAACGGCCGTGGGAAGACCTGTTATCCGGGGCTGTGCCGCGAGCGGAGTGTTGCTCCCTGCGTGTAAATGTGTGAGCCTTCCTGCCTCCTTTTCCTTGCTTGCGTGGCCACAAGTGAGCTACCTGCAAGCAGTGTTGAAGACTACAATTATAACTGGAAATGGAATAAGTGTGAAGTATTTTCTAAAGGAATGCCCTTTCGTTCAGCTCCCTGGGCTTTGCTTTGCTTGGTGGAACAGGGTAGGATGTTGATGCTCACCAAATCTACCAGTAGCCCTTGCATTCGCAAGGCACCAGGGAGTCACCCTGGAGCCAGTGCTAGGAGTCATGAAAAGCTGGTTAGTGATTTGAGCAAGAGCAGCTGAAGTAGGATGTGTGGCCGTGGTGGTAGGATGGCTACTTGCCACGTGGAAACAAAATTAGCAGCTTGTAAAATGTGGAGTAGTTAAATACAAACTGAAAGATATGGTAACTTTAGTGCTTTAATACAAGAACTTTCAGCTAGATACTGCTTTAAGCTAGATTATAGTAGTTTTTTTATAGTGGCTTGCTTTTGAACCTGTGCATTACTGCTGCTGTAAAATATTCATGATTTAATGTAAATACTTTATTTTTCTGAATTACATCAGTAGTGTGTTTCTCTTCTTTTTAAGATACTTCAAAGAGAAGGGGGGAAGTCAAATAGCTTGCACAACTTAACATAAATAGCAAGAAAAGAAGTATAGAATTGTTTGCTTATTTGGGGGGGGAAGAAATGTGGGGAAAGTGTGTGTGTGTGTTTTCCTTTTTTTTTCTTTGGGGGGGGTGTGTCTCCAACAAAAGAAACATTCTCCCCCTAAGAAGCTTGCTTTTTGCTGCTTTAATTTATAGTGAATACTTGTGCAAGTATATCAGAGGTGTGCTTCTCACTGCTGCTGGAAAGATGAGCTGTGTTTGCCTGCCTCATCTGGAGAAGCTCAGCACTAAAATTCATTTCATCAAACATTCCTCTCTTCCCGACTGTGGAAGAATCTCTTTTGAAGTCAACATAAACTATACATCAAAACTCTTCAGTGGAGAGACTCAATCAGCAGTCAGAGGCAATTAATTGATTTCAGAAAGTGCACAAAAGGTAGGATTTGACTGTCTTTGAAGGAGCTGAGGAAACAGCTTTGCTTTTCTTTAAAGGTTTCTTGGACTCAGAACCAATTAAATCACGGTGATTGCTACCCTCTGAGCATCTGCAATGAGCAGCCTTAGTTTTCCTTATTTTTCCATTCAATGTGAACATGGGTGAATTGAAATATAGATGTAAGAAGTTTAACGAAATTATAGACGGCTTCACTGCTGCTAACCAGCAGCCCCATGAATTATCTGGTTATTAGAAAAAGAATAACTAGTAGCTAAGGCTAGCTAAGGCTAACTTAGTAGCTTTTTTCTAGTCTTAAGCAATGACATGCCCAAAGACTTTAAGCGTTCCAGGGTCATTCCAGCTGCTCACAGTTGTTGTGTTGTGGTCCTTGAGGGAAGAAAAGGGAATAATCTGCAGAAAAATTATTTGAACCTTCTCCTTTTTTAACTCAGAGTAATGGTATTTCAACTCTGGAAATTAAGCACTACGTGTGTCTGCTATTGGGAAGCTTCCAAGTGGGTATTAGTTGGTTTTAGTGTTTACTGTAGAGGCTCTTCTAGACAGTTCCAAGATGGAACTTCATGGAAACAAAGTGGATGTTTAGGGAATGCCATGGACTATAGCCCAACAATGAGATGCAGATCCAGAATGATAAGGACCAGCGGCCTGGTGGTAGATAGGAAAAAGGAGCTTGAAGAAGAAATTTGCCTCCTTGGCATATTGTACATTGCATTAACATCTGGTTCTAATATAGTGAACTCTTCCTATTGTCAAGTTGGAGCTGATGTGCTTTGATGCAAACTTTTTTTTCCACTACTCATTTATCCCTCTGGACGAGGGATACTTCATCCTCAGCTGCCTCATTGCAACAGTTTGTGTGGCTGTGGTGTAAATCAGATGAGCAAAAGTACTTATTTTGTTAGTGCGCTTGTTTTGCTGGAACAGGTGAGAATTGGATGCTTAATAGAAAACTCCAGGTAATAATCTGTGTCACCTGAGCAGATGTGTTCGTTATGGCAGGTGCCATAGTGCCCGGGTCATGAAGAAATAATTCTCTCTAGTGGATGTCTTGTCTGTCATCTTCATTGTATGTGTCTTATCTTTTTAAGAAAATAATTTGTTCTTCTCTTGGCTTTGCAGCGCTGGCATACCCAATCTGAGTAGTTCTGTGCAACAGGATGATGTTTTTGAAATTCTGCTGAAGCTGAGTCCAGGCCTGAGGTCTTCAGATTTCATCAGCTGTTTGGAAATTAACTGGTTGAAAATCTTGAAATCTTGTCTAGGGCAAGCTGTTGAAATGATCCTAGGTGAGGGATGCTCAGGTACATCAAAGAGGGACTTTGATTTGCAAGAAGACTTTAAAACATGAATGCATTTGGTAGTGTCCATGGTATCTCTGACTCTAGCCCTTCAAACCAAGTGATAAACATAAAATGGTAAAAGTGGGAGAGAAGCTTAAAAATCCTTTTTCTGTGGTGATTATTGCTATGCTTTGGATCCAGCTCTGCTCTTACCACTTCACAGTTGCACTGTAAGTCACTGTTGTCATTTTCAGTTTGGACTTGTTTGCTTTTTACTGCCATATGTTCTGTCACGGCCTTGTGAAGAATGCTACAAATGCCTTTTCTGCTGTTATATGGTGCAAGCTCTATTGTTCCCATTGTAATTGTGTGCATTCTTCAAGTGCACTGGAAATGCTAGGGCTATGAAATGCAGAAAAGACAGCATGAAGCAAAATGCTGCTCGGGTGAGACAAGCCAGCTCTGAAACCGAAAGGTTACCAGTGTACAAGGGATAAGGGTTTTGCTGTCTGCATTTTCAGAAGACATTTGGCCTTAGTTTCGTCAGCAGACCTCCGGCCACTCCTTTTTTGCCGAAGTTTCCTGGCATTATGAGCATGTGCTGGTTCCGGAGCAGTTCAAACATCCTCCAAAAGTGACTCTTCTGTTAGAAGAGCTCTTGCAAGTTCAGTGCCCTAATATGTTTAGACCATCTAAGGTCCTATCTGCCTCTCACTACTGATGCATAGCAAAGAAGGAGGCTAGCATCCACTGTTCCCCTCAGTGCTCCTCTGCAAATGAGGTATAGCTCCAGAACTGCTGCACTGGAGAAAGTTCAACCCCATGTGAAACACCATGAGTGCTGCAGTTCAGACTGTAATTATTTCTTCATCTGTTATTGAGGATTTATATTTATAGGTAAGCAAAATTCCACAATTTAACAAGATTTTGAAACTTGCTCCTTTTGGCCAGGAAAAACATAATGTTACACTTCTCTTTCTACTGTTTCAGTTAATTAAATGAATTTATTGATAGTGTAATGCCTGCAACTGTCCAGGGAAGGAAAGAGTCAAGTTTAACAGCCATATGAAGGAGTGTTTTGTCACCTGCAGTATAGACAATAAGGAACAAGTCATTGACACAGTCTAATTTCAAAACAGAAGCTAAACCCAAAGGAAAAGGTAAATAAAACAAATCTGCTTAGGCCAAGTTTAAAAACATTGTCTAAAGGCAGAGAGCTGTAGGTTTTATTCAAGTTTCTGGCAGCAGAGGGGGAATAAATCCATCTTCTCTGGAGTCTCTGCATGCAGTTTTCCCAATAATTCGGTATTAAATTAAGGCTTCACAGCTCCACAAGAGTCAATTTGTCATCCTTGGGTAGGCATAAGAGTATTCTGTTTATAAAAGAATATAAATACAGTAATGTGAATTCTGTAGTAGTGTAGGCATCTGGGAGACTGTTGTTGGAAGAAAAGAGGAGGAAGAGGCAAACCTAGGCTGAAACAAGTGTTTCCTAGCTGGTAAAAACCCAGTTGTCAAGTGTAGCATTTGGTGTTGAAACTGAAGTCAGACCCAGGCTGCCTGTCAATGCTTCAGTCTAAAAGACAGCTTTCTACTTTTTTTTTTTTTTTTAATCAGCACAGGACATATGTACCTCTGTTTTTCAGTAGAGGAAGAAACCACCTGGCCCATTTAGTTTATGGGGAGCCAGGACCTGGCTTCTTTCTTCCCACATTTGTCTTTTTGTACAGTCTGTTTCGTCATGAAGGAATATTTTTTTTTTTCCCCTAGGTTTGAAATTTCTCTGCTTGGCTAGAGCACCAGGGCACATGCAATATCCATTATTCCTCTGGGCCAAGTCTGGCTGCTTAAGTGCCCTGAAGTAAACACCAGCCCTGCTGTCTATAGGACCAGTGGATGAAAACGTTTTTCTTCCTCATCAGAATACAGTAAAATTCTTTGTATGAAATAATTTCATGCTGGCAAAGCAGAGTTGCAGTAGAGTAAAATTCATCCATGGCAGATGGTATGACTCAATAGGTTTTATAATCTCCAAAATAGAATCCTTCATACTGATGATCACAGTGTCTCTTTTATCCTGTATTTTTTTCCTGCTCTCCACGGAACACATTTTTCTGTTCTTTTTCTGTGATCTTGCAATGCAGCATATTTAATAAAATGAAAAATGCAAAAATAGTGATTAAGCAAGAGGAAGGTATGCACACAGATATTTTACTGTTTGATTCTTGGACATACAGTTGGTCTTGCAATGGAATGACATGTTTTAGAGATTAGTGATTTAGCTACTGAACTGTCTCCAAAAATCAATACGGAGAACTACTAAGTCTATAGGAACTTTTAGCTAAAGAAGGATATGCTAGGTGTTTGGGTGGGTTTGTTTGGTGTTTTTTGGTTTTTGGCGGCTGTTGTTTTGTTTCTTTCATATAGGTCTAATTAGATATTTAAAACATGCATTTTGCCGTTAAAGTATTTAGAGGTCATTTTGAGCACGGAAAGTATTAATGCAGCCTTTCAACTGGACTAAATACAAGGACATGACTTACTGATCATCAAGGCTACTGAGAAATATCCAAGCTAACCTCTAATGACTTTCAAGGAATTTGTTGTCTGGAAAGTTGAAATGATCCTTCTTTTGCATAGTTTTGATCCAGAACTTGGCATTTTTGACTAAACTTCTTTAGAGAGATGATTTTATTTGAACTCATGTTCAAAGTAACAGCTGGAACTTTCAAACAAACCATATCAAATGGAAACCAAAGAACGCGTTCAAATCTTCAAGAACCAAAACTGATCTAATTTTATGAATTCCAGCACTCATCCCTGCATTAACAGTTCAGGCTCATGTGCTGCAGTAATTAAACTGATGCCTCTGGCTGATAAAGATTTTCTGTTGTCTCATAATCTCCATTTTATTTCTTGTGTGAATGGAAGGTAGTGTCTTTTAAGCAGGAAGAATGAAGAGTATGGTTATATTTGCATAAACATACTGAGAGAAGTATGCCTTAAAAAAAGTCACACAACTTAAATTTACAGCTGAAAGGTAAAACTTTCAATGCCGTGGTACAGCTAGATGTTTTCAGATCCTTAAAGTGATGGTGGTAAAGAAAGGGAGAAGGTGTTTCGAATCGGAGATGAAATTGACTCTAGGATGCAATATGTTGTTTTTAGGATAGTTTAATTTTTTTTTTTTTTCCTTGGGACTATTTAACTTCTTTGTGTTGGGAGACTCATATGTGTGATCTGGATTCTTATGCAAAAAACTTGGATGTTTTCTTAATAACAGTCAAAACTGTCTCCTTTGTGAATGTTTTGTACCCTTGATAGCAGTCACATCTTTCTAGCTCCTTACATATGGTAAAAGCAGTCTTTTTCTCACTTACCTAAAGACTGATGAAGAAATGTTCATCATTCAGACAAGAGCACTGACTTGTAGTTTTGAAGTGCAAAACAGTAATGTAACTACAGTACTAGCAACAATATTAACCACAGACAGTAGTTAGACAAAGTAAAACTTTGCTACTCTTCAGCAGCTGTGTTTTACCCAGAATTTTTTAATAAATATTTGTGTGTAAAGTCTGCTTTTGTTTTCTGCCACTTTAACATTTTTTTTCTGCTCTAGATTCTCTACAAAGTAAGTGTACCAGCTAACCATACATCTCTTTCAAATGTCCTCATTTCTTCTGGACCAGCTTAGTTTTGCTTTCTGAATTCAAAGTTCCTGAGTGTTCTTGCTAAATAGTTTGAGGAAACATCTAAGAGATGCTATGTAGAATCTTGTCACACACTTATCTAGTGTCCTTCATGACTTGAAAGTCAAAAAATTCCTACAGTGTTTCAGCACACTTTCTTATCTGCCTGTGTAAAAGCATGATAAAGACTGGGAGAGCTCGGCTTCTGTGCTGGTCTGAGCTCTGTCAAAATGCTTGAAGACACTGGAGAAACACATTGCTACCAGATGCCCTACTTGCCTGGAAGTTCTGGCTGGGCATTACAGTGGTGCCAGATCCTTAGCACTATGACAGCAATAGAATAAAATGACATCATGAAAAGCCTGGAAATGTTCATGTGGGGTTAGTTCATTTTCCAGAAGTGCTGTGCCTCATAATATCCCCATTTTAGCTTCAGCCTGTAAGCCCTTTCTCTTCTGGCCCTTTCCATCTTGTGGCTTACCCTGCAAACGGAGGCTGCAGCCCTATTCACTGTGACTGCTATAAACTCTCTGTACAAGTGGTGAAGATGAAACCAATGTTTTTGTTCCTTGTTATAGATACAGATATTGATATATGTGATAGATTGCTGTAGATGATTCAAGAGGGTAGTCCACCTGGAAGAATCTTTTCAATTTTTTTAACATGCAGCTGAGCAGTTAGGAGAAAGAGGAAGTAACAAGTGCTGCCACCACCACACTTTCAAAGCTAATAAAAATGATTTGCATTCCTTACTTCATTTACTAGTGACCTGTTTTAGAATACAAACATAGTATTTGGCTCATCTTAAGCTGAGGTGCTTACTGCCAAAAGGTAGATGTCAGTGCAGACACACCGGCTTGAGGTTTTTTCATTAGGTTCGTACATCTTTATGACCAACTTTGTGATGGAATCTAAATATTGAGTAGCATTAGGATTATCTTTAGCAACATTGCACCTGCATGTCTTCTGAAGGTTCCTCGTTTCTGCTGCGTGACTAGACCTCCTAAAATATTGTGAAAGGACATAGAGAGGAACACGCCACCCCAGTGCAATGCATGTTTTTTTGTCAATGTAAGATAGTGCTTCTGATAATAAAGTTCTCTTACAGTACAGAGAATTTACCACTTTTCTACTTCTGAATAAAGCTTTTAGGTGAGGAAAAAAGCATTTCAGCTCTTCTGCACAGAACTGACCAACTTGAGTCAAGCGTGGGCTGAATCAGAATTAAACAAGCAGCCCAAGATGAGCAACCCATATTGTTCTCCCTTACATCCAGGGCTGCTAACATCCTAGTTTCTGTCCAGTACTTTAGAAGTAAAGTATTAAGCTTTCCTTAATAGCAGCAGCCCTATATTGCTCTGAGATAGGATATTCTGTCATGTGCATTTGCCAGATGGGTTTAAAATAGAACACGGTATTTCCTCATTGTGGTTTTGCTTCCCTGAGATATTAAGACCTTTCAGGCTGTTGCTGTAAGAGCAGAGAATTTTCCAAGCTTGCAGTAGGCTCTTTGCTGTTCTCAGCTATTTAATTTTTATTTCATGGAGTATAATGGAAAAAGA